CACATTCTGTTGGGTCACTTCTCTTTGGGATGGGCACAAATATGGATATCTTTCAACAAGTTGGCCAAGTAACTGTCTTCTAAATTTCTTGGCTAGATAAGTGAGTACCTCCAAGGCTGCATCAATGTGTTGAAAAATTTCAATGTGTATTCCTGATTTTAATTCCTGGAGCTTTGTTCTTTGCTAATGCTTTCGATGCACCTTGGACTTCTTCCTTCAGTACCATTGGCTCCTGATCTCTTGAAATGGTTGAACACTGACCATTTCTTTTTGGTAAACTGATTCTGTACATTATTTCTACCTTTTTTACATGCTTTTTGCATCATTCAATATTTGCCCATAGAATCCTTCAATATCACAAATCAAGTTTGAATTTTTTCCTCAAGTCTTTCAGCTTGAGAAAATGCTGAGTATGTTGTTCTCTTTTGTTTTTCTAACTCCAGTTATTTGCACATTTCATTATAATATTTGGCTTTGTCTTCTCAAGCTGCCCTTTGAAATTTTCTATTCAGTTCTTTTAATTCCTAATTTCTTCCATTCACTTTTGCATCTCTAAGCTGGAGAGCAATATTCAGAGTCTTTTCTAACATCCATTTTGGTCTCTTCTTTCTCTGATGTCTTTTGAATGATATTTTGCAATCATTGTAATAAAGCAAAGTATATGATTTGTTGGTATAGGCACTAATTTTTCAAAGCAGTGTTTGTAGTGTTTGTCAGAAGAAAGATTTTTAAAAAAAACAAAAGATTAAGAAGAAAATTAATTTTTTCATGAACGTATATACACTTTGTAGCAGATCTCTTGTCAACTTTCCTATGTTTTTAATTGCTTTACATTGTTGAATATGTTTTAGATTGCTGAATGTAAAACTATCTTCTCTATATATCTTCATTCAATTCACAAAGTATTTAAAAAATTTTTAAAAGATAATGAAGCTTTTCCATGAACTTTTGAAGCCCCACTCCCCTATATGCTCCTGCATATTTTCCCAGGAGAAAAGATATCTGTGTCCATGTAAAGACTTGCACATGAATATTCATAGCAGCTTTATTTGTAATAGTCACAAACTAAAAACAACCCAAATGTCATTAGCACATGAGTAAATAAACCAAGTATACCCATATAAGGGAATAATAATCAGAATTTAAAAATGAGTAGTTGTCTGATTGGCAAACACACATGTCACCCATAAGGGGAAGTGAGGGAAGAGCATCAATGAAGAGCTAAGCCCTACATCATTCAGCAGACTCCTGTGAACCCAGGTGGAGACCTGGTCGGCCAGCAGCATGGCAAGACCTGGGGACTCATAGGCTCAGACTCAATGACACAGCCACAGAGGACTAGAGTGGAGAGCGAAGTGTCCAGCTGATAATAGGAGGGCAGACAAATACTAGAACACCCACACTTGCAGATGATACCCACTTGACATGGCTTCAATGACTGGATGAACAGAACTCAACCGGAAGAAGAAAGAAGAGGGAAAAAAGTGTCACCTGATACAATTTGATAAACTTGACCTACACCTATAAATGCAGTAGCTCAAAAGAGGAAACAAATCCTTGCTGCAAGAATTATTCCCACTCCCTCCACACAAAGAGTAGATAGGGATGGGCAACATGAACATTGGCT